TAAAATTATTTTACTAATAAATGATGAATGATCATATAACATAACTTCACGCCTTTTATCCCCGAAGGGGTAGGTAGAAGCGCACATTATGGCACTGTACAATGTAACACTCACTTTCTACTATTTATGTCATGAGTCCCATGTACCGGGCACGATTCTAAACTCCGTGCTACTACTGAGATTTAAAAAAAAACCAATAATACTGTGCCAGACTCGGAAATCGAACCATCAAAGTATTTGGTAATATAATAATGAATCTCAAAGCATCCGTAACAATAAATCTAATCAACATTAACCATCGAAAATCCTGTCAACAACCCCATTTGCAAAAGGTTCTAACACATTAAATAGAAACGGATAAAACAGATCATTTGCCCTTACACCATCAATCGTATTGGTCAACAGCTCTTCGCACGTACTATTTATTCAGGACTAGTTGCTACTGCCAAACCCCGCTCTTACGAAAGCAAATGATTGAATTCCGTGATTAAATCCTTTGTTAGAGGCTTCCAGAATGCTCCATAATTTACATGAAACTCTAAATATCATGACAAAGACTAAGTGTTCGGGTCGCACCCTAATTTATATTCAACTGTCCTTATTTAATTTGTTTGGGGTCCCTAAATTAGAGAGAGAAAGATATAATTCTATTATGACACGCGCAAGGGGAAAGGGTCAGTTTTTCCTTTAGCCTTTTTCTTTATTGTCTTAATGAAGGTGCTGAGTTAATCAGATTAAGGTAAATATTATTGTTGTTCTTACGAAAAAGTAAATATGAGGTACCCACGAGTATATTTTGTGAAGATAAGAAGAAGAACGTTGAGTCACAACAAAATATTGCTTGACACCCGTTATATCGAAAACTACATTGAAATCTGGTAATAAATTCATATCATAAAACAAAAAAGCTTACATAGTTTCTTGCTGTTTCTATTTGCGATAAATTTTCGACTGCGCCGATAAATTTTCCCAATATTTCAATTTTAAACCTTATACTACAAAATTCAACCATCCATTATGCAATCGTTCTTGTATTACGTCACAACCTAGGGAAATAGTGATTCATTTTGTATAGAAAAGAAGAATAAAATAAAAAAAAACTCGATACAAAACCCTAGGGATTTGCCCGACCTAGTTAATGAGATTGATAATGTCATAGTGTATCGGTATTGAAATAGCGAACGAGGACACTGCAAATGATGTAGAATCCCGTATATTATGTTCTTATTATATGGACCGTTTAGTCTTTCAAGATCACCTATGCTCTATGGACTTTAAGGACGGACGGAGTGTCTGAGGAGAGGACTGACACCAAGGCCTCACAGAAAACCGACGTGAAACAACGCTTGCATTGTATTTCGTCGTGTGAGTGAGCTTACCGGAGGTTCAATTATCAATATATATCTCCCCAATCCTCATGGATTCAGATCCCCAACAATCCTCAAATTCCTAATCCCCAAAAGGTCGGTAACGCTCTGGTGTTCCAGGTGTCCATGGGCGACGCTGATTGCTTTACCATCAGGTGATTCGTCTGCACGTTTACCGGTTTTTTTTTATTTGGGACAAGCCCGCCACAACCTCCCTAAACCGTTGAAACTCCTGTAAGCCAGGATCTACAGTAGATACAACCATGAATACACCGAAACACTGAAGTCCCAGGGACATGAAAACCTCACTGTCTTAGTTCCCGCAACGAAGTGAATCAAAAGATATTAGAGGTATAAGGGGAGAAGAAAAACATTTAACGTTTACCGGCTTAGGTATCGCATAAAAAACATAATAAATGTCTACCAAAAATCATATTATTGCTTTCTTTCAAAAAAATCGATTTGAACATCATTGAACCAAGTTTTAATTTACTGTTTTGTACTGTAATGCAAAAGGATATTACAGGTTATTGAAAATCCACTCAAAATACGATACGCTACTGTGAATATTAAATGAAAACGTGATTCATAAATTACTTTTCTTCAAAACAGGTAACCGAGTTTAGCAATACACATCAATAAATTTAATTTCGATGGAAATAATGTGAAATTTGGACTTAATGCGGCGTCAAACTGTATTTTAGCTTTGTTTAATTCAAAGTTTAATTAATACGTTCATTTTAGTGTAAATATTTCATGTAAATTTATTATATATTTTATTGAAAATGAGCAAATATTGAATCTCATTAATAGCACAACATTTTCTTCACATGACTGTAAAAGAAGGACTATAATGTACAATTATACATATTGATTGTAAATAGGAAAAAACCCAGAAATTAAAACATAAACTACTTCTTATTTTAGATTAACTAAATAAGAAAAATATTTATACTAACTTCCAACTCTATATTTCGCTGGAAAACTTTCCATTATATAGATGCAGAGCAGACTATTAAAATGTTCCAACTTCTAGTTGCCTACTTATGAACTGTAAACCGCAAGTTCTTCAAGACTTAATTGCTGCAAACCTCCTCATTTTCCTCTCCCCAGCCTGAAGCCAACAGCACTCGGCTTAGAAACATTTTAACACTATTAAAACAGAAATTAGTCTTTCATAAAACCACTCAAAGTTTTAAAGCAAGGTCAAAATAAATCATAGAATAGCTATGCTCTTAACAAATGGCCGTTTAACACTAATTCTTGTTTCATTCATTAATAAATTTATAATGGCTCAAGTCGTGAAAGTGCGATTTTCAACCGTAATTAAATGCGATTTAGAATATTTTTGGAATAATTCAGTCTAATATTATTTACATTAACGAAAATAATGGACCTTAATTTTGAAGGGAGGAAAAAAAGAGTAAGCCTAGAGTAAATATTGAAACGAATGTTAATAAATGTTATGAAGAAACAATATCGCTTACTAACAAAAAGAAAATGCAGTAAAAATAATTTAGGTGCTTTGCATTTATTTACAAAACTTTTAGGTTTTAATCGAAATAATTAAAAATAATTTTAAGGCTTCCTGAGTGTGTGTGTGTTCCTGAGAGTATGTGGTCGAAACCTATCAACGGCTAGTAGTACCTTTTGACAATTTCCAAGTTCAATGTACTTTTCAAAATTATTTAGACGTTATTAGCAAATGGTGAACGAAAACATCGACAGAAATTATAATTTATAATTTTATAAGTCTAAAATCTCCAACTAGCTTTGAGCAAGCATGGTGATTAATATTTAAACCTTCTCTGTACGAGAAGAGGCCTAAAATAAGGAATAAAGAATTTATGCATCGATATTAAGTATTCCCAACACTGTTCCAACTTATACATAAAGTGACGTGTTGCGGTACGTCAGAAGTTAAAATTCTTGGCGGTTAAAAGGTTAATCAAGGGCGACCTATGGGCTATTGATGTTAATGTTGAGTTAAAAATACTGCCATCTACTATTAACCTATCAGTAGCTTAATCAAAAAAGCAGTTTTGTTTTTCAATCCACTCGTGAACACTCAAACTATACTCACAGTATTCGTACATATTTACTTTAACGGGTCTTCGTGTTCCGAGCATTTCACAGTTCGGTGTCGGTAAATACAGATCCGATTACTGACAATTTCTTACTACTACACTTCTCTCATTCAACAACATTCCGATTTGTTTGCGTTTCCTTTTCTGTATTTGCTCATAAAATATACGAAGTGAGATCGCTACATTAGATGAAGAAGGTGAATAAAGATTGTATGGTGTGAAACTATAGGTAAGGTAAGTACCTAATATTATACTTTAATCTCAAGGGAGTAAATATCAATTTTGGAAAATGAAAACCTCTTCTTTTAGTTTGTTCGAGGTATTAAAGGCGTTGTGTTTTTTTTAAGGGGGCAAAATCATTGTATGACTTCTCCCGTCGTGTGAGGAACTCTTACTGACTAAAAACCACCCCGTTCCTACTCCTGCACTTCGAGCCGGAGCCCCGGTAACCCGTTAGGTTCTCCGCGACAAAGGCGTTGGGTAGGGTCACATATTACAGAAAGGCTGGTTGTCTTATTCTTCAAATGCGTGCAACAACTAACGCTGATTCGTGAGTATTAAAACGATAAAGTGTTCTTAATAATACACATGTGCTCGAGAAATCTTTTTTATTCACATAAGTATAGCACTTAAGGATAAATTAAATGCATAAACTAAAAATATTTCTTAAACACAAATGGAAGAACAAAAACGATAATGAATCTACACTTGGGAGCAAAGAATCGGAGGAGTAACTATTTATTTTCATTTAATCGGACCCTCCAAAACTTAAAATTATTCCTTTTGCAACAAAATGCTCACATTTTAAAACTACTAACTAAATTGCTTCCTTTATACGACATACTTTACTAATAAATACAATACTTGTATCAGAAATATTATCAAGAAACAGAAAAAATAGTAGTGGTTCGCTTTTTTGCTCCGAAGTATATTTCAGATCTCTGCAAACGCCGTGCATAAAGCCGTAGCACGCGACGGTAACCGACGGCTCTGTGTGGCGTCGTCCGTAATATAGTACATTACAACTGCTCAGTGTCGCGTCGCCGTCCCGTCCCGCCGCGCCGCGCCCGCTGTGTGCTTTCATTCAACCGTCTCAATAATAATTGAAATCAAATAACTAATTTTGACAAAACAATTGTATGGTCTTCACACAAACGAAACTTAAAATAGTTCACAAATATGAAACAAATAATTATACAATTACAATAAAATGTATGTATTCTTCATCAGTCACTACTGTCGACCCTAGCTGATAGAAAACAATATAGTCATGCGAGTGTTTCCATCTACTCGATCACGTTAATGCTATGTACAATTTGTATAAAATAGGAATTAGGTGAATCTTATCATAATTATACAAAGTTGGTTGCAAGGAAATATTATGACTCAAACCTAAAATTGCATCAATAAGAACAAGAATATAATACTGAGACATACAATTTGTTTAAAAAACAAATATATTTCGATGAAAGCAAAATAAGACGAACACGACCCGTAGATAGGCACTTTGAAAACTTTAACGAATGAAAGAAATAAGTCAGTAATGCTAAATTAAGTCCAGGAAGGACTTCTTAAATGACGCTGAACTACTTATAACTTTGCTTTCTTGTTTTGATTCAGATAGTGTGATGTCATACTGGTCATCATCCTCTTTCATTTCCTCCTCAATCCTTGAAAAATGCAATTTTACATAGTCATTTTTGTAGAATAGAGAAGCCCTTCTTTCTTTACCCTCAGCGAAAGTGCTTTCCCAGGAAAATTTTGCTATGTACGGATTATTTCGTACCATTTTAGATGCAGTTATGTTTATATGTTTATAATCTTCCATGTATTCCTTTTTCATTGCCGGTTTATTATCTGTAATTAAACTTTTTCTTGGTTTTAATGGTTTCTTAATTGCCTCTGGAAAAAGAATAGCTACAGTGTCATTAAAAATAGCTTTCTGATTTTTCATTATTTCTAACATCCTTCTTGCCTTTACCAAACGCTGTGCTTCTAATTCTCTTAAAGGTTTCTCTTGTTCAAATAACAATGCTCTGTTAATTCTTTTTTTTACTGCAATTGTTCTTTCTATTAACTTTTGAATTGTTTTTTGCCATCTTTCCTCGGGCCCTATATATTTCAATCTCTCCAATCTTTTGACTTCATTTTCTTCTTCTTGTTGTTTCTCTAATTCTTCTTTTGCCCTTCGCCTTTCTTCTTCCTTTTCAGCTAGAATTAAACCTTCTTTTTGTTTTATCTCCAGCAAAATATTTGGGTGCTTTTTCACAAAATCAGCCTGCCAAGTAATATAAGATCTTATAACTTTCAATTCTCGTTCAACCAGGGCCTTCATGCGATGTATATACTTCGGTTTTACTAACATAAATACGGGTGGATATATAAACAACCTAAACGAACCATTGACATCACTTACACCTAATATATTTTTAGTTAAAGGCAATGTATGTAAGCTAACACCTGTTAGCATAGTTCCTGAGAGCGTTTGTACAGAAACAGGTTTGTCACTTATTAAAACAAGATCCCAAGTTTCAAGGGCCCCTTCAGAATTTGCAAGAAATACTACACTTGGTTTGTACTGTGACCATACTCCATCTGTCAATCGGTATGGACGCCTTTTCCAGATTATTGGTCGACCATTTAAATGGTCAGACCATATTGCGAATATTTTACCTCCTACAGTCAAAGTAACAGAATCCATATTAGGATTTTTGTGAGTGGCTACTATAGGTCCATCATGTATATTACAACAAAATTTTATGTCGCTGAACTCGGCGTTAACCACTTCACCTGTATTAAATTCATGTCCTTCCCAAGTTGCACGTGTTAGTCCACCAGTTTGTGTACCAAGATAGACATCGTTCCTTCTTCCTTCCAGTTCTTGGATTTCACAAGTAAAATATTTTCTACCACTTCCGTTATTTCTGGGAGTGTAAATATATTTAACACTTGGTGGTGTTGCTGCAAAACTCTTTATAGAATATATGGAAGATTTTCCTGCTTCACCTATAATTATTTTATATATCGGCTGCAGAATACGGTCTAACACCTTAAGAGGTGAAATATCTACAAGTAAATCTGAAGGTCTATGCGCAATTCTCTTCGATTTCTTTATTTTCTTAACGCTCAGTAGTAACGTGCTATCTACTGATATATCCCAAATTAAAATTGTTCCATCTTCAGAGGTTGTCATAAACTGTAATGGTGATTTATCGTCAGGTGCCTTTATGGTTTTTCCAGTAGGTGTGACTAAATAATTTGGCGGCACCCATTTGATTCCCGTAACCGGTGCCAAATGACAAGTCATTAAATTACTACAAGCAGTAGCACTTACTACCGCCCTGTCCTGAACTGGTTTCATCCATCCCATATGCGCATTCATTGCGATTCGGTATTTTTCTCTTGTTTCACTTAATACTTCAATTTTTTCCACATTTTCTAGTTTGTGAGTTAAATCCCATACCAAAACTTGTCCATTAATTAAACCACCAATTAAAATGTTTTCATTAAATGGGCAAAATGAAAGTATTTTGACCTCACGTGGTGCTTCCAAGTATAATTTCGGTATTAAGCTGTCTATGTGGCTCCAAATCATAACAGGGTTTAAACCGTAAACAGCTCTTCGTATTATATCACGGGGCACAGATGACGAAAATGATTTCATAACGGTTGGCGATACGTCTGCATAGGAAATGGCAACAATACCAGACCACATGGGATGAAATGCTGCACATGATACATATTTCTCTTTAGCTCTCACATCTGTAAAGCAAACATACTCATCGAATACCATAGTACCAAGATTTTCCAAATGTTCTTGACTAACAAGGTTTTGGTAATCATTATAATACATATCCATTACTGCATTAAGTTCTACCATAGATTCTAGTTCACTTGATTTAGAGTAAACAAATTTGTTAATTTTTTTTATATACGACTTGCGACGCATTAGTTTCATTGCATTCCTATAGGCAATTAAACCTACTTCATCAAAGGATTCTTTTTTCAAAATATTTTCGTCATCTGAGCTTCTATCATCATCATCGAGATCTTCAAATCTTCCTGCATCGCCACCTCCATCGATATCACCTATTTTACCTAAAACATCAGCGATAGATTGAGTCCACTTGTTTTGTGGATATCTCAGTTGCGTTTGTGCTACATTATTAAGCACAGGATATGTAATTTGAGATCCACAGTCAACTCTTTTTGCATAAACATTGTTAAATTTTTGCCGATATGGTGTTAACTCTATGAGACCATCTCTTACCTTTTCCGTATCTCTAGTATGAAATGCTTCAGGTTGATACTCAGTAGGAAATTTGGCTTTTATTTCCAACTCCATTAAATTCCTGGTATTGACGACTTCCAATTCAGATATTTCTGCTTCACTTCCTAAACTTATCCATGGTCTAGGTTTCTTTTGAACTGCTTTTTCTAATTTCTTTTCCTGACGTCTAATAAATTTTTGAGATTGTTGCGAACAATGATCCCTTGCCTCAATTGTACAACATACATAGAATTCATCAATATTCTTCGACTCATCTACTATGTAACCCATGAGCAATTCTTCTTCTGGATAATCCTCAATATGTTCCCTTATAGTGTAGAATTCGGAAAGTTCTACGCCTACATTGATATTTTCCATGATCTTTGCTTTACTCACCATTTTCCATGGATATTGGGCATTAATTTGAAAACCGATTGCCATTTCGATTTGATGTTGTGTTTCATCACCAAGAGTTACTGTGTATACACCAGGAACATCATAATTAGGAATAAATCTCTTCCTACGAGGTGGAGGTCGTGTTGAACTTGGCGAAGACATCTTATTGAAGTTTGGAAGAAGATTCAGTAAATAGGAGCACGGAATGAATAAGTACAATATTTTTCTATTTTCAGAATTACATTCGTGGGAGAAAAATAGCTTTTGACTGTGTCATATTCTTCTTAATAGTTTTGTTTTTGAAAGTCAGTAAAAAGTTTCAATTTATTTTAGCTGCTGTGTATGGTCGAATAGGTCGTATAGTCATAGTCAATTTACATGAATGTGGTTTCGCTATCATTAGTTTCAATATAGGTATAATATAAGATAGAATTATGAATGAGATATGAAAGAAAAGAAGTAAAATAGTATATTTTATCTGGTAAGTATATGCACTAATTTATCACTGTAGTAATTGTATTACAGTAGTATATCTATGACAACTGTTAAAGTGCCATAGACTTCAGACACAAATAAACCATACCACAATGCCGTTGTTATGTTAAAGCATCAGATTATTAATCAAAAAAAAAATGGGGCATTCTACTTTTACCGACTTCTTATAATATAGAGGTAGAGTTAATAATCTGGCTGATCACCTGACAGCCAATAATCAGTGTCGCCATCGGCCATCATGAACACTCGCAACACAAGTGCACTCCCGAACGTATGTAGTAATATGAATGGGCTAATGGTAACTACATTTCATGCCAAACCACGCGGAGGTTATCGATTTCTTTTCTCTTTTTAAAAAACGTTGCCCCACACTAGGATTTTCTCCCGTGTCGTGGGTGCGTTTACAAACATACAAGTTCACATACACATGACACCCAGACTCGGAACAACAATTTGTGAATCACACAAAGAATTGCTCCGTGCGGGATACGAACCCGCGACACGCTGCACGGCAGCCGGTAGCCCAGCCACCGCATCAACCAAGCCGTCAAATTGCCGATTATTTCACGGAAATAAATAAAACATTACTAAAAATTAATTTGTACTATTTAATTAAACATAAAAGTTAACATAAACATTATTATATTAATAAAATTATACCCTAATAGAAAAATATGTAGAAATAGAGTGGAAAAATATTTAAACAAAACAGCTTAATAATATCATACACAATTCCCATTTATAAAGCATTATGTACCAGAATGAAGTCGGTTAAAAAGTGTTTGGAACCCAAGCAGTCAAAAAAAAAATTAAAATTAAACAGATCGAAATAGTTATTCCAAATATATTAATTTTAATTCTATCAATGTATTATTTTCTTTTGGCCAATAAGCATGCCAAACAAAAATCTATAAATAAATCAAAACGCACTTTACAAAATTAAAGTAAATTGAATCATAATTAATCAAATGAATATCTTAAAATACAATATTATGCAAAGAATAAATCTAATCTTATTTAAACATTTGTAAATTAAATAATTACATGATTAAAAATAATAATAGAACTATAATTATAAAATAAATTACTAAACTAAATAATAATAAAAATACTGTAGGGTAAAATGAAAAATTAGAAATTACACTGAGGATTTTCTAATTAGTTGGTTCTTCATCTACTACACCTTCTCCTTCTCCCTCTTTTTCTACTTCTTCTTCTTCTTCTTTCTTTTTGGTAATAGTTTTAACAGGGGCTTTCACTGGATTTCGTTGATTTTGTTCCCCTTCAATTCTACCGTAGTGCATTTTCGCAAAATCTTGTTGAATATTCAACGCAGCTCTTCTTTCTTTACCTTCAGCAAGTGTAGCTTCCCACCGAAAATCTGCTTTATATGGGTTTTTACTTACCATAACTTTTGCATTTTCTTTTATGTAACGATATTCAGTTAAATATTCCTTTTTAAGCGCCTCTTTGTTATCGGAAAGCAAACTTTTCTTTGATTTATATGGTTTCTTTATTGCTTCGGGGAAAAGAATGGCAACAGTGTCATTGAAAATTGTTTTTTGATTTTTCATTATTTCTAACATTCTTCTTTCTTTCTCTAAGCGCTGTGTTTCTAACTCTCTTAACGGTTTTTCGTGTTCTATTAATAGTGTTCTGTTGATTCTTTTTTTAACAGCAATTGTTCTTTCTATTAATTTTTGTATGATTTTCTGCCATCTCTCTTCAGGACCTAAAACTTTCATTCTCTCCTGTCTCTTAGCTTCGGCTTCTTCATCTTGCATTTTTTCTAACTCTTCTCTTTTCCGGCGTTTTTCTTCTTCCTTTTCAGCTAATAGTGCACCTTCTTTTCTTTTTATTTCCAATAAAATATGTAGATTTTTCTGCATAAAATTTGCTTGCCATTCTATAAAAGACGTCATGACTTTTAGTTCTCTCTCTATCATAGCCACCATACGTGGTGCATAAGTAGTTTTTGATAGCATAAATACTGGAGGATTAAGATACATTCTGAAAGACCCATTTACGTCACTTACGCCTATAATGTTTTTAATTAAAGGCAAGGTGTGTAAACTAAGTTTTGTAAGCATCGATCCAGCGAGTGTTTGTACTGAAATAGGTTTATCACTTTTTATTAATAAATCCCAGGTTTCAAGATCTCCCTCTGAATTACAAATAAAAATTATACTTGGTTTATACTGCGACCACACTCCGTCTGTTAAACGATATGGACGTTTTTTCCAAATTATTGGTCGACCTTCCAGACAATCAGACCAGATTGCAAATATTTTTCCTCCCACAGTTAGAGTAATAGAATCCATTATAGGATTTTTACTAGTAACAACTATAGCACCGTCATGTAAGTTACAGCCAAATTTTATGTCACCGTACTCAGAATTTACTATTTCCCCGGTGTTGAATTCATGTCCTTCCCAAGTCGCACGTGTCAGCTGGCCATGTTTTGTACCGAAATAAAAAATTGAATTCATAGTCTCATTGGTTTCCTTGTCGACTTGACAAATAAAATACTTTCTTCCAGTACCGTTATTTTTCGGAGTGTAAATATATTTCACTTTAGGAGCAGATATTCCGAAACTCTGTATTGAGTAAGCCCAGGGTTGACCAGCTGTACCTAAGATAATTTTGTAGCACGGCTGAAGAATACGATCCAATACATGAAACGGTGATACGTCTACAAGTAAACCCGAGGGTCGACGTGCAATCCTTTTTGATTTCTTTACTTTTTTGCCTTCTACAAATGACATATCGCCAACTGAAATATTCCATACTAAAATTTTGCCATCTACGGCTGTAGTTATAAACTGAAGTGATAATTTATTTTCTGGTGAACGAACAGTCTTACCAGTGGGTGTTATTAAAAAAGTTGGTGGTACCCATTTGATTGCAGAAACTGCCGATTCATGACAATTTAATAGACTGCTACAAGCTGTAGCATTTACTACAGCTCTATCTTGAATAGACTTCATCCACCCCATTTGCGAATTCATAGCTATTCGATACTTTTCTCTTGTTTCGCTTAAAACTTCAATTTTCTCAACGTTTTCTAGTTTGTTTGTTAGATCCCATATAATAATCTGTCCATTTATCAAACCACCAATTAGAACATTTTCATTGAAAGGACAAAATGATAAAGTTGTAACCTCGCGTGGTGACTCTAAATATAGTTTTGATCGTAAACTATCTATATGACTCCATATTAATACCGGATTTAAACCGTAGACTGCTCTTTGAATTGGATCACGACGTGTAGATGTATGCGTCCGCATGACAGTTGGGGAAACATCCGAGTATGAAATTGCAACAATACCAGACCACATTGGATGAAATTCCGCACAAGAAACATACTTAAATTTAGCTCTGACATCTGTGAAACAAACATACTCTTCAAAAGCCATCGTACCAAGCGTATCGATATGTTTCTGAGTAACAAGATTTGGATAGTCATTGTAATACATATCCATTACAGCGTTTAACTCTATCATCGACTCCATTTCGGCTACTCGCGATGTCATAAATTTATTCATCAATTTTTGATAAGATGGTCGACGCATACGGGCAGCTGCAGCCCTATACGAACGTAATCCTACTTCATCAATAGGTGGTTTTCTACGGTTAATTTCTTCGTCTGAACTGTCATCATCGTCTCCTTCTAAATCCACATCGCCACCACCTTCAAGATCTCCAATTTGACCCATTGTATCTGCGATAGATTGAGTCCATTTATTTTGCGGAAATTTTAGATAAGTCTGGGCAACTTGGTTTACGTAAACTGGTCTAATTTGACACGCGCAGTCTATTCTTCGACGGTTAATATTATTAAACCTCTGTCTGTACGCTGTTAACTCAATTAAACCGTCTCTAACGGCCTCAGTGTCCCTTACGTTAAACTTCTGGGGTTCATATTCAGTGGGAAACTTAGCCTTTATCTCGATCTCCATTAAAGTCCTTGTATTAATTGGTTCTTGTTCTATTATTTCAATTTCACTGCCCAAACCTATCCAAGGTCTTGGTTTTTTTTGTATTGCTTTTTCTAATTTCTTTTCTTGCCGTCGGATAAATCTGTCTGATTGTTGCTTACAATGATCTCTGGATTCTACTGTGCAACATACGTAGAAGTCATCAGTGTTATTTGATTCATCAACTATATACCCCATTAATATTTCGTCTTCGGGATATTCCTCAATTTCTTTACGTATCGGAAAAAACTCCGATAATTCACCCCCAAGTTCAATTGATTCTAGTAGTTTAGATTTCTGTACAGTTTTCCAAGGATATTGTGCATTAATTTGGATTCCGACTACCAATTCTATTTGAACTTGTGTTTCTTCACCAATAGTTATCACGTGTACACCTTCAACATTATATTTAGGAATGAATCTCTTTCGACGTGGTTGGGGCACTGCCGCAATCGTCGACATTTTTGCTTCTGCGGTCTGGACTGTGAAAAATTATGTTTTATAAATTCGGATTCTAGAGAAAAATTATGCGATTTGTATATTATTATTTTTGATGATAAATTTTTGACTACGTCAATATGACGTTGACTCTCATTGACTACTAAAATATTTAGATTTAAATCTAAACTCAAAAACTAATAAGGTCGTAATATGCAGTAGCCTGCGAAAAGTTTCATTAAACCATCCTTTACTTTAACCAATTTATTTTAAGGATTTATTGCATGTGACGTTTAAAACTTTTAGTGTCCTTGGCTGTGGTACATTGCTTATACTATTCATTCTTCCCATTTATTTGATCCTGAAAATAGACCTGGTGTATGGCAGAAAGCTGGCCTCTTTTTACCTACAACTATAAGAACACTTAGTGAAAATAATTTGTAATATTCATCATCAACCGCCTGTTCTTGTCCACTGTTAGACATAGGCCTCGCCCATGGCATACCACTGAGCTCGATCTTTAGCTCAACGCATCCAATCACACATACATACATAGTTTTATACCTTTAGGGGCATTTCAATCTAAAGAAATAATGGTATAACATAACATAATATCACGCCTTTTATCCCCGAAGGGGAAGGCAGAGGTGCACACAGAAGTAACACCCACCTTTTACTATTTATGTTATGAGTCCCATGTAATAGGGGATGAGCCTATTGCCGTATACCGAGCACATTTCCAGACTCCGCGCAACTACTGAGATTTTTTTTTAAAAATCCGGTAATACTTTGCCCGACCCGGGAATGGAACCCGAAACCCCTTGCCCGGCAGTCGCACTTGCTACCACTCGGCCAACGAGTGAAAAGTTATTTAGATCCATGCGAATATCATTTATTTATTTAGTTTTCTACATTACTTTATTAATAAGGTGTCGTTTAATATAATATCCTTTGTTTGAAAATGGTCTACGATGTCAACCCTGTTACCCTTATCATTGTAAAAGTGTCAGATCAGTGCTCCCATGGGACTTTCCGCCATCTGTCTCCTACCATCCAGTAAATACCTTTGGAGATACTTAGTTATCTATTTTCGAGATGATATATTAATTTTACTATTTATCTTTTGGTTTTGCTCAAATAGTTTTACTACATTTCGTTTAATTATGACTGTTCATTACTCGGACGCTTAACCTCAGCGAGCTGTTACTTCGTCGATTAAAATAATATCAATTCCAAATGAAAACTATATTAGTTGAAATATTAAAAAAAAATATTCAGTTCACCTTAAAAACTCCACAACAAGGTGTGCAAACCTTATAAATAAATTGCTTACTCATTTTAAACCTTACCCGCTTGCACTAAGGTTTCTGCTTGCTTTTCTTCTTCACTTGGTGGTGGTGCCTTTTTAACTTCTCGCACCTCTGATTTGATATCATCGTCTTCATCATCTTCTTCATAACCACCTTCTGAAGAAGAAGATCGTTTTGGTTGTGGTGGAACTTCCTCATCACTAGAGTCTTCTGAATCTCCGAACATTTTGTATGACTGTAAAACAGAAATAATTCTAACTTCATCATCAACAGCCTATAAACATTCGCTTCTGTATTAGGAGCCTTTCTTTAAGAAATATTTAGACTTAAATAAGTCGAATAATTAGGTATGCAATCTAAATCTAGGCCGGTAACGCACTTATAACGCCTCTGGTGTTCCAGGTGTCACTAGGCGACGCCGATTGCTTACCATCAGGTGACCCGTCCGTTCGTTTACCGGCTTATCCCATAAAGATGTCTCAGATACACAAATTGTTCTATTAGATATAGTAACATAAGTTTTATAAAACCTATTTTCTCCAAAAATACTCTTACAAAAACATTAAACCTGAAAAGTATTCGGAGAATATTTTAGGATAAACTGAATATATAGCGCCTTGAATATTAATAATAGCAAGTTGTATTTTAAAGTAACATTGCTCTATTATTAACTTGAGTAAGGTTCCTTTTTACTAGTTATTGGGACTATAGTTTATTACTAATAGATAAAAAATAAACAATAAAACGCGACTGTTAAATACACAGAAACAAAAAACCGTGATCACTGTCCAATATTTTACACACTAATTACCTACCTACAAAACAAGCATCTACAAAACAATAACACAACAAAATACATACCTAATTAACGCGTGTCAACAACAATATTATTATTTTTTCTTATTTATTTAGCTTGCTGGATAAATAAAACAATGGAAGTAATTATAAACACAGTGAGAAACTCGGAACTGTACCTACGGCATTTTAACAATATTAGGTATCCTGTTTGTAAACAAGACGGTATGATAGAGCGCATGCGTGACACTGGCCTGGCACTACGTGGTACCAACTTGTAGTAGGTAGTAACCCTATTTAAAAAAAATGTAGTTGTTTTATATGTATGCGCTATTGTTTTTATTGATTACTATTTTTGGGAAATATTGAGATTGCTTGTATAGTACTTAGGTACTAGCTATTGCCCGCGACTTCGTCCGCGTAGAATATGATTCCTGTTTTATCCCATGGAAGCATTTAATCGGGATGAAAAATATCATATCACCTAAGTCGGCCAAGATTTTGACGAAATTTGGTATAGGTACAGGCCGGGTATGGATCCTGGCTGTATACAAATTTCATCAAAATCCGTTCAATAGTTTCAGCGTGATTGACGGACAAACATCGAAACAAAAGAATATTTGACATCTATAATATTAGTCGCGTTAGTTCGCGTCCATTCTGACCAAAGACGTAAAAATATTATAAGATTACACTAGAAGACTTTTAGTACATTACTAATACCTAAGTTTGTGCATCCTTGCCTGGTCGTCCAGCAAACAGAAGACACGATATTACGTTTTTATAATAACCGAGAGACATACTAAATTAAGTGAAATCGCGGGTTACTCACATGAATATACTGAGAAAAGCTCTACTAGTTTCGAACCACAGAGGGGTTCTTCCTCATGAGCAGCGTGCGCGGTCGCGTCTGTAACCCGCGATTTTAGTTAACACAATATTACGGTTTGCCAGCAACATCAAACTAGTTAGTACTTATATCAAATACTTTCAGTCCAGTTGCAAAGAAATACTAAATCATCATTTTAACTACACTAAAAACTGGCATGGGCGTAGCCAGCTTTGGGCTCAGGGTGGGGCAGCAGTCAACTGAGTCAACCTATCCCCGGGGGAGGGCGGTGGCCCTCCTATTTTTTGTACCTTGAGCCGTTGATCTCAAACTTGTTAATCTCTTAATTTGAGAGGTTTATATTTTCAGGTACAGAAAATAAACAATCACACACAGGACAGATTTTATAGTTTTATTTATGAATACTCGGTGTTTATAAATTAAAGTTTTAACTAAGCCTATATGTATGAGTAATATTACTTCAAGAGAAGACGGCGTGTGTTCTGGCAGAACCTGTTAAGCACTTCTTCTAAAAATTTATACACTTAGCATACACAGGCCGCTTAAACAATTTTCGCTCATGGTTGAAGCCACGTTTTGACCCGCCGTAATGTGCTAAACTATCGTTCTATTGTACAGGTCGTACAGGGCTGGGTAAGCAAAATAGCGAGCGCGGTTTTTACGCTAGGATAAAATTGCATTTCCGAAATTTTTATCACATCTACCAGTTCCATTTCCTTCAATGCATTAATGTCCGTTTTTTTTATTCCCACAAATTATACCACATCTCAGCCTCGCTTTGGAAAGTATCACAATTAATTTACAAAAATGAATACAAAACACAAGATAGCTACTGGTAATCGATGAGGAGTTCCCTCAACTATTATACTACTTCATTATCAGACCCTTATTGGCAATCACATACCATACAAATTAATCAAACCCAAACACAATGTAGCTACTGTTAAACGTTGAGGAGTTCCCTCGACTGCCTATCGGCTCCAACATCAGATCAGCTACAGAACTTTATCAGATTATAGTGGTTTTAAATACTCAACGAAAAAATTAACAAATTTCACTTCATTCCTGATGAAGTGAAATTTGTTACTAGTCGCCCCTATAATTTTTAAAAGTTCCCCTCGGTTTCCCTGGAATTCAATCATCAGATCCTGACTTCATGACAATGGGACCAAATGACAAACCTACCCTTTCAAACAAAAAAAGAATTTTTGAAATCGGTCCAGGCGTCTTCGAGAAATCGAGTAACAAACATAAAAAAAAATTACAGTCAAATTGAGGACAAAACAAGCAAACAATACAAATCGCGCCACGAGCCATAGAAGATTTTAGTCTGTGGTGATGGATGGCACGGTGATGGACGACTCGGCTCACTACGCCACAAGGCGGGACGCGTGAGGCAGCGTAGCGCTGCCTCCTCGCAAACCTGCCATCGCGAAGGACACACCGGACGTCGGGGATCGCGAGACGATCTCCGGCCACCGTAAGCGCGGACCTGCGGGCGGCAAGCATGGGTGGCTCCCCGTCCGACCAGAAATAGACCCGAGCGTAAAGCGCGTCGCGTTTCGCGCACGCCTTCAGCCAAAGAGCCATCAGACCACCACAGATTGGGCCCAACAAGGATGTGTAAAACGCCTGCTTCTCATGCTTGAGGGTGGGGGTTCGAAACCTACCCGTTGGTAGGTTTCGAACCCGCCATAAGTACCATTGTGACTTTTTCCGAGTTATATGTATGTATACATACTTTCTAAGATTATTTAGATACCACTGACAAACAGGATGACATCGTTAGGAAAACTGGACTTATAATTTCTAACTAATTATAAGTTTAAAATCGCCAACCCGCATTAAGCAAGCGTGGTGATTAATGCTATAACCTTCTCCATGTGAGAAGAAGCTTTGCTCAAAACTGGGCATTTATAGGCGATGGATGATATGTCGATGGTGAAAGTTATGGAGTAGGTATATTTTTTTGAAAGGATGCAATCGTGTCTCGGCGAAGCTAACGAGTACCCGGGGCTCCGGCTCGACGTGCAGGAGTAGGAACGGGGTGATTTTTAGTCAGTAAGAGTCTGAAGAGTCCACGGAATATAGAATACAATGGAAGTAGCTTGAAACAATATTTCTGCCAGAACCGGTGTCGCCAAACTATAAATGTATTATAATTTACTCATACTATAAATCGGAAGTTACGATTGGTTAGAAAAAAAATGGGCGTAAACGAAATGCAAAAAAAATATCATACGATATTCAACTTTAAAATCAATGCACTATAAATCAAAATAAAAAGTATATTTTGGACTACCAAGTACCGCCATTCGTCGCTAGATGGCGTTTAACAATGCCATCTAGCGACGAAAAGTGGTACTTGGTTTGAACTTTAACGTCGTAAGAATAAAGGTGATATTTGAATGGCTTATCACTGGCTCGAATGCGGGTCTCTACTCAGATAGTGATGTAGCCTAATTCGATAAAAATAATATCGATAATATGAAAATGTGTTTTAAAAATAATGTGAAAAAAAATATTGACAGTATTAAAGTAATAAAATTAATATGCGGTTGATAACTTTTTAAACGTAACAAAAAAGGGTAAGTATTTATTTGAATGTAAATCAAAAACCATTTTGTTCGTATTTTTTATTAGTTTCTTTTTTCAAAAAAACATTATTTTTAATTCACATAAGCAATATAAGTAACAACTATTACATACATTTTTACAAACTTTATATGGATAATGTGATAAATGAGAGGGATGGCGATAAGGATGACGGTGCTGATCTGCTCCGTGAAGTGAAGGTTGCTTCCAATCACGTCGGGGTCACCACTAAAATAATAAAAAAATAATCTAAATAAATGTTACATTACACTTGCATCGATATCAAACGATAAATTCAATATGTGATTTGACCACATCACTATTTGAGTAGCGTAGAACTGGCGAGAATGTTCTATTGAATGGAATAAATCCAAAATAAACTTTATCTTGAAGGCGTAAGGTTGATTTTGACTAACCGTTTTAGTAAATAATATTATTTTAATAACCGTTTTTGTAAATGGAAATAAAATAAGATTTCTACAAGAAAACAATGAAAATTGTACTTACCGATGATACGAAACACCTCCATTTTTACGATTTTTCGGCTGCTATCATTTTTACACGCCAAAACGGAACAAAACGGCATAGTTGAGGAAATATGTATTTGTCACGAGACTAGCAACTCGACGCGATGTTCGAACGAGACTGAACTCGAATTTGCCTCGAGTACGCAGTACACTGCAGGGTTGTGGCACGCGTGCCACGCCTACTTGTTACTTCCATTGTATTCTATATTCCGTGGAAGAGTCTGACACTCCCTCCCGCCTCACCCAGGCGGGAGCAGTCATTCGATGATATTCCCCCCTTGAGAAAAAAAAAACACCACATAGTAGGCACCTATTCTTTTAGGGAATACGGCTCGCTTTCAAATGACGCGCACGCCGCGCACGTTCGGGAACTCGAGCGTGCATTTTGTTTTGATCGCGCTCTTTTCAAAGTCGACAATTTTTTTTGTGCAATAACTTACGGATAGTATGATTGTTGAT